ATTTTCATAGTTTTTCTTTATTTATTTAAACACACTTGCTTTGTTTGTTTGTTTTTCTGTTTTTGTGTATTATTTAACCTATTTAGATGGGTCCACTGAAGGGCAACGCAACGCAAAAAATTTGAAACACGTGGCAATTGCTTTATTTTTTTTATTACCAAAACAAATTAAGAAATAAAAACTTAATGAAAAGCTTTCATTTTGAAATGCACAAAGTCCAAGAAAAAAAGCAAAAACAAAAAGAAAAAAATTCTTGATTTCCAATAAAACTTTCATTCTTATTACAAAATTTTGAAATTAATCTTTGCAATGTAAGTTTAAAAGAATTTCAAAGAATTGAAAACAATTTTTGAAATTTATTCTGAATGAAATAGAATGCAGAAGAATGGTCAATATGGTCAATTCATTTTTTCGATATGATTCTTTTATCTTCTTCTCGTACAATACCTTTTGTTTTCAATAAAACTGTAAGGGATTAATTCGCTGTAATTTTAAATTGACAGATTATTTCAATCAATGACATTTTGATTACCATTGACTCATATTTTTCAAAAATTCTGTCTTTAAAGACCTTAATAACCTTTTACTTATCTTTCCAGGATTATTATTGTCATTTATCTTGAATTTTTACCCATAATTTTAATATTGTATTTGGTAATGAAAATCTATAAAAATCTATGAAAATCTACTTATTTCAAAACCCCATCGTATTGAATGTTGACTAGAATGCATTTTAGAAAACAAGATTGCAAGCCACTTAAAGGAAAGATAATCTTTAGCGAGCCTGATAATTTGGAAATAAATTTTAGATTACATGTACATGAATATACATTTGCGTATATATCAGAGTAGTTACATTAAACTCTTATAACGTAAACGAATTATTTTAGATTTCTACTGAGAATATCTAAAAATTCACTTACTGCACAAAATTTTTCGAGAACTTGAAAAACTAAAAAAAAATAGCTTTAAATAATTGTTATATGAATTTTTTGCGAATTTCTTTTACAAATATTGAAATACGTTGTACATGTTTATTACTGCCCCTAAAAGTATGCAAATTAAAAAAAATTTCAATAGATCAGAAAAATGCATTTTAGGATTAATGGCATTAAATTACAGTTTTAGAATTGATTTTTATTAAAACGCAAAGACATTCCTTAATCTACATTGTGGATTAGTTATGCCAATGTTTATTTTGTTATACTGCTTCAAATATATATAAAATATCAAATAATCAATATTAAAATATATAATAAGACATATTGTTTTTAAGATTTCGCGCCGATTGCGCCGTCATCCAATTACTATTGAAATTAAATTAACAAAAATTCATTAATTTCTTCTAAAAAAGTATTTAATTCAATATAATTAATAATGTTGGCTTAAAATAATATCATTAAATTTTTAACCATCAAATTGACAGCATGGATTAAAACAAAATAAAATAATTATTGTAAATAAATCCTTTTGGCAGTTTTTGTTTTGCAATTTTGATAAAAACAATAAAAGCATCAAAAATCCAAATATTTATTTTCACTTAATCATAGATGTTTATTGTAATTTTGATTAATCGAAGGAACAACATTGTTAGAGCAAAAACAATATCAAAGTATGAAAAAATCCGCCTAAAACAACAATTTTATTTATCAGTACAGTTTTTGCCTTATTTATTAATGTACACATGTACAAAATTTTAACATAAAAGAAAAATTGAATACGATTTTCCGAAATTACTTCAGATTTGGAAAATATTTTTGATATTATTTAACAACACACACAATATTACTCGTATTAAAACATACATACATACATACAATGTTAGATACTTGCTATGAACACTCATATTGTGTAGAAAATACTCCAAAATATGAACAAATTCCTACTTGAAAATAATCAAAATATAGGATTTTCTTTTCCTATATCGTATCTATAAAAACATCAACAAGATTAACAACTGATCTGGAGATTACATGAATTCATCAAAAACTAGAAAAGGATTTTTACATATGTATGTGTGTAAAACAAGAAGCATAAGGATTTATAAACTATGAAGGGAGTAAATTTTAATGAATTTGTATGTGTACTTATTATATGAAGAGTAAAATAAAAAGGAACGATTTTATCAAGGATTTTCTATAAAAGACGTACAATTTTTGGTATTTTATAGAAATATTTATAGATATTTTGTTCGGAACATTTTGTTTTATAGTTGTTAACCAAATTTTATTTATGTATGTATGTACATCTGTTCGTTATAATTTAATTTTTATACCCAAATTTATTAATGACAACTTTATTTATTTAAAAATATTATATACTACATATAATTGTATATTAAGAAAATTAATTTGCTATAAAATTTAAGCTTTTCATATAAAGATTTTATATAGACAACATGATAATTATTAAGTGCCATGTAGGCTAGTACTCAAAGATCATAAAGTTAAATTAGTTTTCCTATATAATATTTGAGTTTAATTGAAACGAAAATATTATGGGAATAAATTAATGAAAAATACCTTTGAGCGAAATTTAATAAACTCTTAATTTCAACCTGGTGTATATTGGATTTGTCAGGTATTGAATTGTTCCTATAGTACACATTGCTATATTACATGTCTAACAACTTCTAAATAACAGCACAAAATATGATTTAATTAATATTTTGAGTCGGATTTGAAAAAGTTTCGATTTCGGCTTACATTCGGGTTTAGATTTAATTTTTAAATAAAATTTCGATTCTTATCCGAAACCCCAAATATATATATAACTATAAATATTGCGTACCCGTTATCTGCCAAACTATTCTAAGTTGTCAATAATAATTGTATACATTTATACAATTTTTATCTTTCATGTAGGATCAAAATATTTTCATTTAACGTATATAAATACATCCATCCGTTAGGATAATGGAAAATTCTTATTAAAACTTTAATCAACAATATTCTATACCGTATATTAATTTATAATTTATGTATGTGCAGTTGAACCGTTTTTTATATATATAAAGAATTTTGTATTTCATTTAAAAAATTTTTAGTTAATTTAATTTTAATTAAACTACATTTATTTAACAGGATGCATGTAGCTTCTAATATATGCACTTTTTTTGTAAATTTTTAAAATTAAAAAAATTCTAAAATTATTTCAATTTGTGTGTGTGTTTTAAAGTCACAATATCATTCTAAATTTCAAGAACGAAAATTGTTATTCATTTTAAATATTTTATATTGTGTATAATACGTGCATTTTAAAATTGAATCCAAAACGTACCAAAAAAGGATAATGGTTTATAATAATAAATCAACGTAACGTATGCTTAGTTTTAACCATTATAGAATATTTTTATATACTGATGCAATTTAAAATAAAAATATTTGCTTTAATAAAATAAAAAGAAATTTTATATGAAATACATACAGTTTCTACTGGTTCCGGTAATAATTTTAATTCCTTTTTATGTCCTAATAAAGCTTCTTTATCTGTTGCCGTATCAAATTCTTCACTTTCATTACGATGTGTCCTTGATGAAATTTTTCTAGCTAAGGCATGTGGTGAGAATTTTGAACGTAAACTATCATGATCAGATATATCATGTGAACTATTTTTCGTACTTTTAATATTGTCCTTTAAACTATTTTGACTTGTTTTATTTAATTTACTAATACCACCACAGCTATTACTATTATTATTACTATTACTATTATTTTGATTACATTTTTTATTATTATCATTAATACCACTTCCACTGACACTACCACCACCACCACCACCACCACTACCGCTAGCACCTAATGGTGGAGGTGATTTAATACATTGTATATTATCTTTATCACAATTGTCACATATACATGTACTTGTTGTTGTTGTTTGTCTTTTTATAGTTCTACGTTTAACATGAGAATTTGAACCTTCACTTAATGGTCGTTTTTTAATAATTTTTTTTGTTGTACCTGTTTCAATACCATCAAAATCATTTGTATTATCATTATGATGTTGCTGTTGTTGTTGTTGTTGTTGTTCAGCTTCTAACACAGATCTTTCGAATGAACAATGCTTTTTAGTTGATATTAAATGTTTTTCAGAGCCACCAACTAATAAATTTTTTGTATTATTTTGTATTTCAATTGTTTTTTTTGTATCTTTATCTAAACGTTCTTTATCTAAACTAAAATAACGTTTTGATTCAAATTGTTTTTGTTTTTGTAAATCACTATTACTACCATTAAGACTATTACATTTTTTTGAATTTTTCATTGATTTTTTATCTTTTAATGCTGATGGTGATGGTATCTGTGCATTTAAATTATTTGGCATATTATTTTTTGTTGATAATATTGTTAAATTTGTTTCCATCATTTTATCTAATTGTTTATTATTATTACTATTAAATATTGAATTACTATTTATACTTGAACCGCTTGTATTACCAGTTGCTGCTTGTAATAATTTTAATGGATTTTGTAATAAACCAGTTAAATTAGTAACAACTGGTGTTAATGGTACAGGTATATTACTAAAACTACTTGCGCTACTATTAAAATTGGGTCGTGATCCACTATTTGGTCTACGATTTTTATTACATACAATATTCACATTATTTACTTCATTACGTGAATTACCAATACTTTCACAACAATCAATGCAAATATTTTCACAGCTGCTTGTTTCACATTGTGTTAGTAAATTATCTAATTTACGTATTTCCGACAATTCAATACATGATGAATTAGTATGAACATCAAAATCAGACATTATTTTTTCTTTTTAATAATAAAATAATAATTATTATATTATAGAAAATAATAATTATTATATTTTAAAAGAATCGATCTTTTAAAATATTTTTTAATATCTTTGATTTTGTAGTTGATTTTTTAATGGTAATTATTTTAACACTGTTATTATTTTAAATTTAAATTTGTTTTTAAAATAAATTGTTGAAAATAAATAAATAATATTTAAAATAAATTTTTAATTTACACATTCTATCTTTTTAACAGTTTCTTTTATAAGTTTGTGAAAATCTTAAATAAAGTGAAAAATTTTATTTTGAAAATTTCAATTTTTAAGTGTTTCCGAATATTTCTTATTAATTAACAATAATATTCAAATAATCTTAAAATATATTTATTAATTAGATAGTATAATATATGTATTATGTCGTTATGCTTGATGGTCAGTATCGCAAAAGTAACATAAATTAATAAAGTTAAAAATTTGTTTGCACAATGCACAATTTCTTTTTAGTAAAAATCAATGATAAATTCATTTTCACACCAACACAAAGTTTCTTTCATACAACTATTCCAGCCAAGAACAAAATTTTCCAAAAACTTATAGTTTATTTGTGCTTATTAGTATGTATGTTAAGTATTTATTTGTAAAATAATTTCATATTTAACTAAGAATAACAATTATTTTTTAATATTTTATTAGTATTAAGTATGGAAAAGTTTTATAATTATTAATAATTGCCTAAAAGTTCGCAGAGTTTTGCATATTCAAGAAAAGAATGAAAGACGAAAAGGCAAGCTATACAATGTTATTTTGCATTAAAATCTCAAATATCAATTAGACACGATATTAATTAAACAACATATTACAAAATTCAAAGAAAATTCACATTATGTAAAACACATAAGTAAAATTATAAATTTTTATAATTTCCATCGTCGGAAAATATTATAAAGGCTGAAAGTCCGCAATTTTTTGAAAATATTTTATTTAAATCAATTCGCACAACTCTACACTTGATCTTATTGATTATATATAAGATTTTGTATATCAGAAAAGCATTTATTTATTACTTGAATATTAAAATTTTCTTTTAAACTGAATTAATATTGCAATATACAAAGGAAAAGTTCTGAACTCACATTTTTAAGAAAAAATTTTTAGTGTTTAAAATGCAAATTTTTAGTATCGTCAGACGGATTTTGAGATTCGCCAAAGAGTTCTACTAGGCGGTTTTGTGGTTGTGGGAAGTTAAAATGAAAGTTACCGATGGGCCATATTGTGGGCGCGGCTGCTGTTACTCCTACTATTACTAAGAAGAATTTCACACGTGTTTTTGAAAATTCCATTAGAAACTTTTTAAATTTTTTTCTTCTAAATTTATGTTAAGATCTTAATATTAAAATATTAAGGTTTGCAATTTTACAAACAACAAAATCATTTTATACAATGCAAATTTACAGATAATTACAGGTAATAACTTTGTTAAAATACTGATAGCTAAACTTTTTGTAACAATTTATTCTTTTATACTTATTTTGTTAAACTTTTTCATTCTATATCAATTAAAAAATCTTTATTATTTGTTTTACACAAGAAAATTTTAAAAGGAAGTCTTTGAAAACAAGAAGAACAAAATGAAGATGCAGCAGTTTAATAATATTTGGAGGCGTGAGGGTAATTTCTATATAAGGAAACTTTTATTTAATACGAAAATTTTCAAACCACTTACGTTTTAAAAACGATTGTTAGTTCTAGTTATCAAATATAAAAATGCTTATATAACGATAATTAAAATATTTTTTACTAATTATCGTCTTTCTTTTAATTTTTTATATTTTTTCGAAAATCTGAATGCACCTAAAGCGTTTAAATCTAATTATAACTTATCTAATTCTTATGTAAACAAGAAAACAAAAATTTTTAAATTGAAAAACTCCAATGAAATTTTCAAACTAAATGAATTTTTTTTCAGAAAACTTTTAAATCGTGATAATAAATTTATCCTAATACCTAATTCTTTAAAAATTAGGAAACTATATTAAAAGTGCTCGAATATGCTTGAATAAGAATGAATAAATTATTCCATAAACTTTAATCTGATTTACGTAAATTGTATGAAGAACTCTGTAATATACTTGTATATTTAAGAAAAAGTGTTCGATTTTGTATGTAACTTTCTTATTTTCTAATTAAATTGTTTTCAAATCTTTTACCAATTTTACTTTTATTGTTCAACTTAATTTACCTAATTAATTTCAATCTAATTATTTTTTATTTTCTCTAATTAAAAAATTGAAACTGTAAAAAGTTTTTGGTTTTCCTATTTTTTGTTTCCTTATTTATACATATATCAATAGATATCCATAATATAATTCAGAATCTATATACAGGGTGATTGAGCAACGACTTAGGACGCAACTATATACCTTCGGGTAGATGATCGATAATAAGTAATTTTTTTTGTTCGGAACCTAGTGTCACTTATTAGTGGCTTATTGCTTTTATTAGTCTTTAAAATCTCAAAACTCAAATGGTTTGTTTTCTATATCTTCTGTGTTACAACAAAAAAGATTTTTTAACGTTTAATGACTAAAATTAAAGCTTAAATAACTAAACAAAATTCTGTAAGGAATTCACATTCAAAATGAGGAATTGCTGTGGCAAAAAAAAAAATTGAAAAAATAAAAGATAAGGAAAATTGGAATTATCCTAGCTCGAATGTTGAAACGAAAGTTATAAGCAAAAAATCTTGAGTATATTACAATTTCACCAAATTTTTTTTAAATCTTTGCTGATTTGACACTTGGTTTCCAAAAAAAATTTTACTTATTTTCAACCGTCTCCCTGATATTATAAAACTCCCAACTTGTTGCTTAATCACTCTGTATTGTGTAGAAGAAAATTCTTTATTGATTTTGGACTGAATAAATATTTTTTTTCAATTACTGAGATATTATAGCACTTAATTATATTAAAAAAAATATAAAACTTATGCTTTATTAATACAGATAATAAGATAATAATTAAACAAAATGACGTCAAGTAATTTTCTGAATAATTCGATTCATGTATAATGCCAACTAAAGACTAATCATATTATTAATGATGATAATTGTGAAAATTATAAAAAGTAATTTCAGTTTTAATAATTTGCAATTTCCGAAAACTCATAGTCTTCTCATTGTTACATTTTACCTAACTGAATATCTCTATTTACTCTAAATTATTTAAAATAATAAATATATAGATTATAATACATAAATTAGTTAAAATAGCATTGCGACACAATATCGAGAATAATTAATATAACAGACGTGATAATAAATTAATTTTAAGTAATTTTAGTATGAGAAAATAGTAGCAAATTAGTATTCAAAACTAGTTTTTTCACATACAAGTAGAAAATTTTTTGTTATATACCTACATAATATGAATATAGTTGCATTACCAAATTGTTTTAATACAAAAATTATTCTAAAAGCTTTTCATAGAACTAGATTTTATAATTGCTTTCCACATATTTAAATTGTTGAATATTTAATATTTAAAATTGTTGCCAATTCAATTAATATAATGAAACAATAAACGTATAAGTGTAGAATTGTTAAAAAAAAAAACAAAATCCTTAACTCTTATTAAAAAATATTTCTAAAATTTATTGTAATTTTTTCGAAATTAAAAACAAACAAATTAAAAAAAATAAATAAATAAAATTATTTTTTTTTTTTTTAACTTGAAAACTTTTATTTTAATATTCAATAACTTTGAAAGTTTTTCTTATTTTAATTTCTATATAAAAAAAAAACAAAAATCTAGTATAGAATTGTGAAAATAGTATTTCAAAGATAACAACAAAAAAATCCAATGTGGTCAGCACATAACAGACCGTAATGTACGTTGTCTTTAAATACTTTTTTTAAATTTTAGGTACACTAGTCACTAAGAATTTGACTCCTAGTGTACAGCTTCAATTTTTGCCATTCGAATTTCTTAAAAAGTTCGCCGGTTACATCCGGTAGCAAAAAGAACTCAACTATTAAATTTTAACAAATTCCGTCGATTAGTTCCTTATATATAGCAAAAAAATATAAATTCGCCTTTTAAATCAAGTTGATTATTTCTCTTTCTATATACGAAAATGTAAATTTGGCCTGTTCGTTGCACGTTCAGTTGCCGCCATTTTTTTTTTTCGAAAATAAAATGGTTTTTCGTACTGTCAAACTTGGTATATACATAAAATTTCAGAAAAATACGCACATATTTTTTTTATACATATTCAAAAATGTAAAACCGACCGCAGTACAAATCCAGTTCCAGAGACGTGATAAATCCCAAAAATTAAATTAAATCGTATCATTCTCGATAAAAACTCAAATGCAAATTATCGTAAAAATTGGTCAAGTTAAATTTGAGATCCTAATCTGCATAGACAGACTAACAGACACACCGACAGATATTTTTCTAAAAATTATCTAGATACGCTTCTTTAGCATGGAGTAACATATTTCTACCGAAAACTCGACATCCAAAATTTAGTGCCATCACATATCCTCCCTTATTGTATGCAATGTGGTCGGTAAAAAAAATAAATAACATTGAATAAATTTTAATAATTATAATTTACTTAAACAATTTATTTTTTTTTTGTTCGTATGTTTATTTTTTAGATATTCATCGAAAAAGTAGAGGGAAATGAAAAATTTTTCCTTTAACACAATTACAATTTTTAAATTAAAATTGCATTTTAATCAACAAATTCACATTTTATCATTTCTTAAATAAACCAAATAATTTTATAATTTTTTTAGTTTATAGTTTTGTGAATATTGAAAAAATAAAACTTTTTCAATTATTTTGATTATTTTTATAATAAAGGAAGAAAAAAAGAAAATCTTTTAATTCCAAATTGTATATAGAAATGAAAAGCCTATAACAGCAACAAGTTATAAAAGTTATCGTTCATAAACAATATTCAAAATATTGAACAACAACAATAAATTATTGTTGGTTTCTTGTTATAAAATTGTTATATGAAAAATTCAATTTTTATAAAATACACACTGAAAATTTCAATAAAATTTTCGCCAATTGCAATATTTTTTGAATTTCCATAATATTATATTATTAAGTCTAACTAAATAATTTAAATTTCAATATTATAAAGGGTCAATTTACAATATTTAATTAAGCATGCACACTTAATTGGAAATTAAATTCGAAAAAATGAATATTTATGAGAAATTTTAGAAGGACTTGTTGAATGAATAAATTGTTTTCTATAGAATGA